TTTATTTATTTATTTATTTATTTATTTATTTATTTATTTATTTATTTATTATTTTTTGGTCTTATTGAGATAGGATCTTCCTGTAGCTCCAGCTGGCCTGGAACTCACCATGTAGACCAGGCTGATCTCAAATTTACAGAGATCACCTGCCTCTGCATCCTGAGTGCTGGGATTAAAGGTATAAATATTTTATTATTATTATTATTTTTGGTCTTTTTGAGACAGGGTTTCCCTATAGCCCCAGCTGTCCTGGAACTCACTATTAGACCACGCTGGCCTTGACCTCACAGAGATCCGCCTGCCTCTGCCTCCCAAGTGCTGGGATTAAAAGGTGTGCACCACCACACCTGGCCCCCACTATCCATTATAAGGACTCATGGAAGGAGAAGTTCACTCCTTTTCTAGAAGGAATGGGGAAGGCTCTAGAAGAGTGCCTTGCATGGAAGATACTGTTACAGCCATTTTCAGAAAAATATAATCTGGCCAGCCTGATCTACATAGCAAGTTCCAGGCCAGCCAGGGCTACATGGTAAGATCAAAATATTTGAGACCTAAACAAAACAAAACAAAAATACTGAGACCGGATTTATTACAAATTAAATTCATCTCAGATTAAACTCCTCATCTCCACTCTCATTTGAGAAAGATCTATTATTCCCAACATCTGTGTACCTGACAATGGTATAGTAAGGCTGAAACTGTTATTTTCCTAGAGGAACCAGTGTACTGCTGTACTACACTTGGTCTTAGCCAAAAGGCCGAGGAGTGATGCTATTACACTTTAAAAATCATTATGTGGAGCCAGGCGTGGTGGCGCACACCTTTAATCCCAGAAGAGGCAGGCGGATCTCTGTGAGTTCAAGGTCAGCCTGGTCTACATAGTGAGTTCCAGATCAGCTGGGGCTTCAGGGAGACCCTGTCTCAAAAAAGACCCCCCCCCCCAAATCATTATGTGGTAAAGCATCACGGGGAAGTGTGGAAAAAAAGGGAAAATGGAATATGCCCTTCGTGAGTAGAAAAATGGGGAATTATTTGATTCTGTAGGTATTTGTTGAGTGTTCACCATGTGCCAGGACAACAGTAGCTGTTAGGTGTAGAGTGTGGAGTCAGGTAAAAGTGAGGGATTTTTGTCAGCTTTCATCATCACCACTATCATTACCAGGATTCCTTAGATTTGCTTCTTGCTGCTTGTAAACTTCTAAGTTAGGGAGAGACATATGGCCAAGGCACTCTGAAACAATTTGGGCACTTTCTGATGAAGTCAAAGTAACTCAACACAACCACCAATCCCTTCCTAGATACTCATCCAAGTGAAAGAAATACCCCTGGGCACAGTGGTATATACCTTTAATCTCAGCACTCAGAAGGCAGAGGCAGGAAGATTTCTGAGGTGGAAGCCAGTCTGGTCTACCTGAGGTGGAGGCCAGCTGGGGCTAGAGGAAAACCATCTCAAAGCACAAAACAAAACAAAAAGAAATATCTTTTCCCTTGACTTCCATACCCTTGCTGCTCAGGTCTGTATTCTACTGAGCTCTCAAACTCAAGTTCAATTTTAAAAATGAAGACAAATATTTGAGTATATTCCTTAAAAAAAAGGTTGAAGCTGGGTGTGGTGGCATATGCCTTTAATCCTAGCACTTGGGAGGCAGCCAGCATTCTGTGAGTTTGAGGCCAGCCTGGTCAACATAGCCAGTTCCAAGCCAGCCAGGGCTAGTGAGACCCTGTCTCAAGACAAAAAACAAAATGCCAAAATTGGTGGGAGGAATCCTATGAAAAGGTCTGGGGATGGCACTCAGTGGTAACACTTGCCTAGCACGTGTGAAGCCTAGGGTTGATCCCAAACACCAGAGATAGACGGGCTTGAAAAGTCTAACGACCCCAGTAAAAGTGGGATGACTTGAAAGGTTAGACTACCAGATTTAGCAAAAATATAGGATGCCCAATGAAATCCGAGTTTCAGAGAAAACAAGGTAATATTTAGTGTATACCAGGCTTCCTGTAAGTCACCTAGGAACCCTAAAATGGGAGCGTTTTATATAGACGGCTTGCAGGCCGGGATGAAGTAGGAGGGAGTCGAAGCTTTGAAGTCCTTCCCAGCCGTCACAGCCCAGCACCCTAGGATGAATTCTCACTTCAACCAGGAGGGAAATTGGTTTGCATTTTAGCCTCCCCATTTGCCCCAGCATGGACCAACTGGCAGGAAAATGCTGGACGAAATGTTGTGTAGAAGTTCAGACTTTGCGGAGAGTTCTTGAACCGCACGCTGGTGCTGGACTGGGAACACGAGATAGTGAGTCACAGGGTCCAGCTCTGGACAGCAGCTCAGCCCCAGGGTCAGCGAGCGCCCAGCCCTCCATCCGGGTCTCGTCAGGGGCGGGGCCCGCCGCAGGAAACGATGTCGTGGGAGGCCGGAGAGCCCGGCAGTAGGCGGGCCCCGAAGTGGGCGGGGTCGGGGGCGTGCTGGAGAGCGCCGGTCACGTGACGTGCGTGGCGACGTGTCGGCCATCTTGTGTTGTTGAGGCTGAAGACTGACTTGGGTTTTGAGAGACTACCCGTCCCGGACCGCAGGTAACCAACCCGTGGCTCGGTGTGTCTCCGCTGCCGGGGCCGCGCCGCGCCCGGGCCGCGCTGTCTCTCCACCGTCCGCCGAGGCCTCACCGCAGCGTCGCGTCCCCGC